ACTGTGGAAGTTGGAATTTGATCAAAAGTTTCTGAGTGAGTTTACTTTTGTGGTAGAGGATTGCGCTGGTCATTATAGAAGATAGGTATTACAATATCCTGGAAAGCTGGTTTAGTTATGGCAAATTTCTTCAACATGTGAATGTCATTAAAGTATTTAATTTCTCCATCATAAATGACAAGGTACTGGGTTGAAAGTTTTGGAGAAAGTTTTAGGAGATTAAAGGTTGATGACCACCCTCTTCTAGCTTGAAAGTTTTCAGCAGAGAGATCTGCAATCATTCTAACATTCTTCCCCTTGTAGGTTATGTTTTTCTTACATGTGGCAGCTTTCATTTTCTCCTTCATATTAACTTTAGTGAAGTTAATTATAATGTGTCTGGGGGATGTCTTATTCAGTTTGAGTCATGCTGGGGTTCTGAAACTGTCTGCTACCTGCATTTCAGAATCTCTTGGCATGTCTGGAAAGTTCTCCTTCATAATCTCATGAAAAAGGGCCTCAGTGCTTTGCAAAGCAACTTCATCACCTTCAGGGATTCCTATAAGGTGAATATTAGTTTTCTTCAAATTTTCCCAAAGCTCTCTGAGAGAATGATCCATTTTTGCTCTGCATTTCTCTTCCTTTGAGCGCTTGGAAGCATTCAAAAGCTTTGTCTTCATTGTCAGAGATCGTTTCTTCTGCCTGCTCAATTCTGTTACTGAGGGAGTTTACTGTATTTCTCAGATTTTTTTTATTATTAAATCATAGCTGTGTACATTAATACTATCATGGGGTACAGTGTGCTGTTTTTATATACAATTTGAAATATTTTCATCAAACTAGTTAACATAGCCTTCATGTCATTTTCTTAGTTATCATATTAAGACATTTATATTCTACAATTAGAAAGATTCACATGTACCCTTATAAGATGAACCATAGGCGGAATCCCACAAATCACCCTCCCTCCACCCTCCCCTCCCCTCCCTCTTCCCTTTCCCCATGTTCTTGGGCTACAATTGGGTTATAGCTTTCCTTTGAAAGCTATAAATTAGTTTCATAGTAGGGCT